ATCTTGTACGTTCAAAACATAACACAGGAAAACGCATCAGTCTGCTGTGTGTTCAGTAGTTTATATGCTAAGTCAAAGTAGCATATTCATATTTTTTTCCTGATAGTTTTCAACTTATTTTTCCCTAATCAAATTATCATTAATGTTCTATGTTTTACTCTCCTTTCTTTATCCCTTTCTCTTTTACGTAGTTGATTTCTGAATGTTTCCCTTTATTCCTGTGATCTTTTCTTCATAGCGGCACTGTCTCGGTGAAGCTTTGCATAAATCTATCAGCAATGTAAGTGATTTGCACTTACAGCTTGTAAACAGTGCATGTTTGCACTAATAAATCTGCATATCCTGTAGTACTGCTTTAGAGCTTTAGCCTATGAAATAGTATACCTGGTAATATGCGAGAGGAGAATGTTTGCTACTAGTTATCAAAAGCTTATGTACTGCATCCATTCATCTTTGTAAGTGTATATATCATTGGACATCAAACACTACGCTCATGGTCATAATATAAGCAGCATTTTTGTGTGATTGCTAAAGCAAGCAAGCTTGTGGGCAGTGCAAACGTGTATTGCAGAGCTTTCTACAAAGCATGAGATTGATGCTGTATTATAATTTGCAGTTTTGCAGTGTAAGTCATAACTGTAGCCAAAATACTCTTTCTTTCTATTTTTTTTTTTTTAATTTTTACCAATGTTTTTAATGTGCTGAAAACCTTGGGAAAAAGTATTGAAAGTTCAGAGAATAGTGTTTAGAGCTGTTTTCTTTTGAATCCTCAATACTGGAGTATATAAAAGGTATGCTCCAAAGATATGCAAAGGGAGGCACTAATGTTTTCAAAAATGTGCTCTTAGGGATATCATTATATGTACTGAGAAATCAAAATAATATTTAAAATTATGTACTCTTCTAAAAATAACTGTCAGATTTTTAATATTTGATGTACTTTCAATAGCAAAAAAAAATTATTAGAAGGGTAGACTAATGTGACTTGCTTGTTAGAATCATTCAGTCTTCATTGTCTTTTGTCTTCTATATAGTATATTGATGCAAATAGGCATCTCCAGAGATTGACTCATTTCAGGCTGTGGTTTGGCCGTCACTTTAATCTGGTGGAAGTGTGAACTGCTCTTGAGAAGGGTATTACCGATCTTTTCTAAGATGGATTCCTGGCTAGATGCCAGACTTCTCTTGGTCATCTCAGTTAAAATGTTTTCTGCACTTCCAAGATAGAAATTAAAATAAAATTGTTTTGCCCTTGGCCCATGCTAAAAGTGTTTATAAATTATATACTGAGAATTATCAGAATTTAGAGCAGGAACTTAAGTGAGAGAGAGGTTTAACTTCAAGCCAAAAATACATTTTTTCACATCATCTTAATAAAAATTTGGCTAAGATACCCTGGTTGACTCCATTTGAATGTTATCATGAGAGGCTTTTTAGAATACGATGATTAAATTACCTGAGGTTCTGCAGGACTGAGCAGGCCTTCCCCTAGAATTGTACCTCCTGGTGGCCATGGTAAACAGGACAGGGTAATGGTGAGAAACCTGAGGAACAGAAACATGGTGACAGGGACAAGAGTGGACAGAATAGCTGTGCAGTACCTCAGTGTTTCTGCCACAAGCACTCAGAGGAGGAGGAAGAGGATCTGAGTGAAAAATTGTGAGATTTCTTGCATACGAGATTTTTAAACAGTAATTTGTGTATAGAGTTCCCACCTGCTGCAAAGAATTGGACTGAATAATCTCTTAAGACTAACCTAACTGCACACACCTATGATACTAAAAATGGAGTTAGGAAGAGCAAAAGGGAGGAGGAGGGGGAGAGATACTGGAGTGTGGGATGGATGGAAGACAAGGAGTAGAGGGGCTACAGCCAAGTCACTGTAGTGGTCTCAGGGAAACAAACCAACCAACCTGAGAATTTATGGATGATGGTTAAATAGGAGCAGAGGTAATCTAAAGAAGCATGAGAGTTGCGTAAAAGCACAAGGGAAAAATAAAGCTCTGGATGGGGTCTGGTTTTTCACCAGGTGTAGTCTGGCAGAGAAACAGGAAATAAAGGCAAGGCTCAGAGGTGAAAAGAAGAACCCAGGCGGGTATGAGGTTAAAGAAAGGTGGGGAAAGAGAGAAGGGCCCAACAGTGAACATGGGATGAATTAGAGTAAATGGGGATGTGAGCAGATCAAAGGAGAGCTTAGATAAGACAGATTTTTTATTTTTTCTAGAGAAAGAAGATGAAAGCTCATTGCCATATCAGATGATGATACAGAGATGACAATTCTGGCCATGCTGGCAGTTGCATGGTTCAAACTAACCACATTAGTGGAGTGAGCTTCTAGGGTTGAAGAGAAAGAATACAAAATATGGTTGTGTTATTAGTTTATCTGACCATCATGGCAGCCCCGGTCTTGGTATGCTGAAAGAGATCGGCTGAGAAGTTCTGGGGCTTCTGAGGAAGCTAGAATTCTACAATACAATAGGGAAATTTTTTTGTATAGATAAGTAACTGCTTGAACGATAGGTATTAAATACAGTGCTACCACAGTGAAGGTAGATTATTAAGGGAGTTACACTGATGTTCAACATTTTTTCTTTTGCAGGCTGTTTATGAATAAGTAAGGTGGAAAAGTTTGCATCTTATAAAAAGCTATTCAGGTTGGGAAGGACAAAGACTGAAGAATTACAGAATAGCTGTAAAAAGCCAAAGGACTTGGGAATAAAATGGCAGATGAAATTCAGTACAGATAAATGCAAGTTAAAAAAAAACAAATTATAACTTCTTGTGTAAAATGATGAACCTTACCTTGACCTGTTACAACTAGAGAGTAGGTTTGTGGACTATGGTATATAATTCTATGAAAACTTCACCTCAGTGCTCAGTAGGAGTCACAAAAGCAAATAAAACATTACAAACATAAGAGAAACAGAGAACATAAGATGTAAAACCATATAAACCACTATATAAAACCAGAGTTTACTCTCATTTTGAACACCTTATGCTGTTTTGGACTAGTAGAAAGGGGGGAAAGTAGGAGAAATGTGACAATAGATGTGGAATAGCTTTCGTATAAGGAGTGACTCATTAAGCCAAAACTGTTTAGTATGGACAAGGGTGTAAGGAGGGAAATGATGGAGATCTACAGAAACATGAGTAAAACAGGGTAAATGAAAAGGGAACTTCTTTTGACTCCTTTCCATTACAACTATTAGAGGTCATCATGTCAAATTGGCACGCCTCTATGGAACTTGCCATGGGATATTGTGGATGCTAATAGCTTTTATGGATTCAGGTAGTGGTTGTATTTCATTAATATTTCTTCCATTAATTTGTCCCACAATACCTTATCTGGTTTAAGAAAGATGCTGGATGCTGGTAGACTTCAGAGTCAAGATCCCTACATTTATGCCTTGGCCTTGTTTTCCCTGGGTAACCTGGGTTGCCAGGAGGCAAAACAGGAGATTAGACAAACCTTTGGTCTGACATTGTACAATTTGTATGACATATTTATATTTAATGTACTTAGTAAAAGGTTTTACATGTATAGTTATGGATTACAGAATGTAGTATAGGCCTTCACTATACTTCAGTTGTAGCTGATCTGCCTGAAAGGTATCTGAGGGTAAAATACTGTTGATACAGTATACTTAGAAGGTAGAGTATATATACCCAAACACAAAGACCTGGTGAATTTGAAATGCAACGAGCCATGCTTATGTCATTCAAATTAATTTGCTTGTTTTGTTTTAGTGCTAATTTTCCTTTAAGCGTGGCTTTTTTTCTTTCAAATCTGCTTAAGTTGCATCCTTCTGAAAAAAAACCCCACATGTATGACAATAATTTTCATGCTGCAAGTTGTCCTTGGTATGCTGCTATTTATATTTTGTTAAGTGATGGGTTTTAATGTTCGGTAAATCAATAAATTGATGTGCAATGTCATTATTAATTTGTCATAATTAATGTTAAGATATGCTGAATCAAATGATGCTATCAGACTATTATAATTCCATTTTATGTAATTTTCTGAGGCTTGAAAAGTATCCTTACTGATTCAAATTATTTGTCATATGGCTACTTTATTTTTTCTGCCTTTGAGTCACTATAGCAAAATTCTCTTTTGCTTAAATCTTGTTTCCAGAATTGGAGGGTATCTCTCTCATGTTTGGCTCAAAAGGGAATACAGGTTTAGTATTTTCAATCTGAAAGTATACTATCTGATGTGAAGAACAAAGTATAACGTTATTATAAAAAGAAAATGGGAGTTTTTCAAGGGGTATAGTGTACTCTAATGTATTAAAATTCTTCTTGGGTGAAAAGCATAGTTTGTAAAATTAGGTATTTCTAAGAAAATTACTATTTGTGACTCAGATTGCTTAGATCTTAGCTCTTGAAAACCAGCAGAAAAATCACTCTCAAAGTATTACTGAACTAACAACAAAAAGTGCATGGGGGAATCATCAAGTGTAAGATTTTACTTGTGATGAAGAGTGGTATGCTACCATTTCCTTTTCAATAAGAAAACTACCAGTAAGATAGGACCCTATCATTTCAAAAGATAAAAAAGTCAATCAATCCAGACGTTACAGGCTATCCTCCCCTATCAACTGCAGGATTTCTCTTACAGAATTGATGTGATATTCCCCTGAAGAATAGTTTATCTGAAAAATCAAGTGTTTGATTTCAGACCTTGATAGTGTCATTTTTATTTATACAAAACCTAGAAGTAAATTTTGAAAATTTGGCCATGAAAAATTGTGTTATAGGTAGTGCTGTAGTATGAGCTGACAGATGTGATAACCCTTACAAAACTATTTAAATAGAATTATTATATCTCTGAGATATAATATTAATAACAATTTCAGTAGATGGATGACATTGCTTGTCTCTTTTTAGTTGACATTCTGGCTTTAAAATTTCAAGTGTTTTCTTCTTTTGAATGTTTTTTGCAGAGTTGATGTTAGTATTAATGACTAATGGATATTTGCTGTTCTGTTGTGGACTAGATCTCATTACTGAAGCAGAATCTGGAGATGCAGCTTTCCCAGTCACAGAGCTCTTTGCAACAGCTACAAGCCCAGTTCAGTCAGGAGCGACAGAGGCTGACTCAGGAGATCCAGGAATTAGAAGAGGAGCATCAGCAAAGGCATAAGTCACTTCAGGAAGCCCATATCCTTGCCTTTCAGAACATGGAAGAAACAAAAGAGCAAGAACAAAAGGCATGTTCTGAATTATGTAGAGAATGTTGCCATTTTAGCAATTTATGTACACAGTTGGAATTTGTAAAGTATCTGCATAAGTACTAAATTTCCTTTTCAGCATTTTAAGATAATTTCTCCAGTATGCCAATGCCTGCTTTTGTTCAATATTTTATAAATTCCCTAAACTGGTATAGAATAAATTTTGTAAATTTGGATTTCATAGGAATTAGAAGAACGTTTACAACAGAAACACTCCGAAGAACTTCAGGCACTGAAAGAAACACATAAACAAGCTATGGAAGGTTTCAAATTGGAGATGGAGCAGGAACTTCAGACTCTACGATTTGAGCTGGAGGATGAAGGAAAAGCTATGTTAGGTATACTATTTTCAAATTTGCAAGTGGGTCCAAAAACCATTATTTCTACTCATACAAATATACATGCACATATATGTATGTACATGGTTGTGTGTATTATAACACTGTAGTGTATCTCAGAGTCATTCAGTGTTGACCTAGTTGTTCCTCTTAAAATCAGTATAAGCTTTAACAGGTAAGCCCAAACTGTTTGCTTTTGAAAAATCTTACCCGTAAGTTTTTTTCAGAAGGCATAAATGACCAAATTTCATGATGGAGAAATGTTTCAGAAAGTAACAGGAATCAAATGACAGGACCATTGCTTAACTGATCTAAACAGCGTGTGTTAGGTCAGCAGCAATACTTGATGAAACTGGGCTGTTATTTTTAATTAGTTTAAACGTTTGCAAAATAAACTTTTCATTTTGTTCATGGTAACTAGCTTCCTTGCGCTCGGAGCTAAATCATCAACATGCAGCAGCAATTGACCAGCTAAGGCACAACCATCAACAAGAACTGGTAGCTGCCAAAATGGAGCTTGAAAGAAGCATAGAACTTGGCAGGCGACAGGTAGGTGGTACTGCTGGCAACTGACTATAAAATTGCATAATCTGTGTTTGTTTTCTCTTAGCTGGAGTAAAGAACTGTTGTGAACAAACAACAAACTTGTAATCCTTCAAAGTCAACCAGCACCAGCAGATAATTCATCCCTACCAGTTTACCTAAAACTTTCTTGCTTAGCTTTTTCTTCCTTCAACAAACTTCATTGAAAGCCTAGTAAAGGCTCCTCTATCAAGGCAGATTCCTCTCAGAATTGTGTAACTCTCTGGGAGCACATTGGCTTGCCATGGGAGGAAAGTGCCGATTCTCGCAAAATTGTACTCATCCTCAGCTGCCAGCAGGACTTAAAAAGGAAAAAGCTGTTTCTCTCCGAAGCCTAAGTGACATGGCTAAGAAGCAATTGCTTAAAACCAAATGATTGCTTCAAAGTTAAGAGGTAGCTTAGCATCTTTTTTTTTTCAGGAGTCAAATTGGAGAAGATAAATTAGCATCTAGAGAAAGCAAAGAAGAACAACAGCTTGCAAGTGTTCTTAAAAAAACCACTCACAAAACCAAAACTAACACCCAAATCCCAAAGCCAGCATGGACTACCTTTGCTTTAACCAACAAACTGGTTATTCACTTTTATCTTTCATTTTTGCCTTTATACACAATCAGTTTTTTCCTGTAGTAACTAAAAATTCAAAGCTTCATCTCTATTGACAGGAAGCCAGACTCCTGAAAATACAAAAACAAGAAAATTACTTGTTTATTTACCTACACAGTAGGCTTTTCAGGATTGATTTACTGATAGTCCAGCACCAAGGAGGTGGAGTGTTTTTTAGAAATATATTAAAAGAGGAAACAGGTTTAGTTGGATATAGTCTTTACACAGAAACAGACAGTCAGAGATGAGCCCTTCTTTTTCTGTTCCTTGCTGTTTTAAAAGCTTGAGCACTAGAGGCAGAAATGTGGTGCTGTCAGCAGTGAAGGAAAACACGCAGGATTTAGGAGGATGTAGTTTCAGTTGTGTGTTGTTTAAGCCTAGAGTAAGACACCTAAAAGAGATGTCAGAAAAAAAAATAAATTAAGGTACAAGAGCAAGTGTTTGATCCAACCAAATGCCATGTACTTTTGGCCTCAGTACAATGATCTGCTGAGCATGAGCTTTAGTTGTATTGAGGGCAAAGCAATTGTGTTTTCCTATGTTAGAATGCTCATCAGTTCACAGGATCAGAGCTGAACTAGATGCAGAGAGGTCTGAGGCATGCTTATATTTGCATCTTTCAGAAATATTTACATATATGGTTATAATTTTTCCACTGTTTTTTCTTATAACTTTAATATAGTCCTTCTATAGGGAGGTAGAGAGTTTTTCTTAAAAGTCTGTTCTTAAAGATGTACTATAAAATTTGTGCATTAGGATATATTTGTATTACCTGGATGCATGAAGGCACAAAACATAATTCTATGTAAAACCACTTTGAAATATCTGCTCATTTTCTATCTGTGCAAACTACATGGTTATTAATTATTGTGAAACTGTAAGAAGTAGAATATATGGAAATGGAAAACTCTGAAAAAGGTTGATTTTATTACAATCTTTTTCTAAACTGAGGAGGAACATTATCAAAACCATTAGGATGTGCTCCAGATGAGTTTCCCAGATGTCAACTTCATTGTCTTTTTCTAAACTGAGGAGAAACATTATCAAAACCATTGGGATGTGCTGCTTCAGATGAGTTTCCCAGATGTCAACTTCATTGGAATTTCTTGTGCAAAAAGACTGACTTTTCTTGATTTATTGGACAGAATATAAATGCTATATAAATGTTTTAACACATATTTATGACCCTTATATTCATATATAGGTAAGATAGGAGATTTCTGAATCAGTGTTCGTTGGTGCAGGGCATACATCTTGAGCTATTTCGTTCCATTGTATGGGGCTGTATAGGGAAAAACAATTTCTCTATATCATATGTCGAAAAGGTAGCAGATGCTAAATGCCCAGCTTCCTGGTTCTTAGCAGTATCTGTTTTTTTGTTACATATGTGGGCAAAAGGAAAATGTGATGAGTTAGACAAACTTTAACAGGCATTGACAGTGACAGGTTTTAAATTTTCTCACTAATGGAAATTGTTACATAACTTTGATTTCTTCTTTATTTGTACACAATAAAAAACCCCCTCAGTTTTAATTATAATTTGTGTCAGCATCAAAAACTGAAAAAAATATCTATTGAAGAGAAAATTCTGCTCAGTTGTTATCTTCCAAAAGCAAGTATTCTGCCTCTGAAAGACAAGTCTATTTAAAATATCTTTTGCTGCTGCTACTTATATCATAGGAGAAAGAATTTTTATGCCGAATATCAGATCTACAAGATGAACTGAGACACCGAGACCATCATATAGCTGAACTGGACAAAGAGATTCTGCATCTTCATGAAAATATAAGTGCATTGACAAAGGAATTAGAGTTTAAAGGGAAAGAAGTTCTTAGAATACGCAGTGAATCCAACCAGCAGATCAGGTATGAATTTTTCCACTCTAAACTCAAATTATTTCATGTATTGTTTTACTTCAGAGATTTTACCATTTGCAGCTTTTAATTTATCATCTTAATCAAGTTATGTTCTATATCATTTAGTCCTCTTTAGAAAAAGCTATGCCCATTATTAGTAAAGGTAGTGAATATTACCATACAGTTAAGCTGCGTTTCAGTGATATGTTTTGGCATGTTATAGAAACAGTCTGCTCAAGTGTTGTTTTTCAGATTTTTTTAAATTCATTTTGTTTGTTTATTTAAAAAAGCATTAAAGGAGATGCATTTTCCATGAAATAAGCTAGAAGATTGGAGGACAGTAAGTAGCAGGTTTTGGTGAATCAGTAATTCCTTCTGTGTTGTCTGATACTGTGTAAAAGCCATTAGAAGCATGGCAGAAAATCATGATGAACAAACGAGTCTGATTTTAGAATAACTCTTTTTTTAACACAAAATAAATTGAACAGGATGCATGAGCAAGATTTAAGCAAGAAACATGAGAAAGAGCTGGATGTCTTGACAGCAGATCACATCAGAGAGAAACAAAGCATGCTGGCAGATTTTAATAAGACCCAAGAGCTGCTCAAGGAAATTAATTCAGCTTTACAAATTTCGTAAGTTTTGTTGCATTCAAAAAGTTTGTATGTAGCTGCGTTTGAATGAATAGTTTATTCTGGTACCAGAAGCTGCTGAAGATATTGCAGAGATGCAGATGTGCAAAAACCTCAGTCAAGTTTGGGGCCTAATCTTGCATCGTTTAGGCAACACAATTCTATAAGCTTTAGGGGAATTTATTGAGATCAATTGTTAGGCATTTGAGAATGAAAAATTTCAAGTAGGAAATATCTTACATCTGTGCAGTTCTTAAAAAAATAGGAGAAAACATTATTTCAAATGTTTTTTCTCAAACATTAATGCATCTTTTTTGAGAACACAAGTGTTTCTTCAACAAGTTTATAAACAGTACAATATTTGCCATAAAGAAGTCTGATTACAGCACAAGTGATGCAAAGTTTTTCGCTTTTGCTAACATAAGGAAAATTAGTGTCTGAAGTGGAACATATAAGCATAACAATAACTGAATATTTAGAGTGCCTCTGAGTCAAAATGTCACCTGGGTTTAAACCTATTTGGTCAGTGTTTCTGGCTGAAGTTTCATGGTGGATTGAGGGCTTCCGGACACAAAGTTGTCACTGAGGGATTAGTAGTTGCAGCATGAAAGATTTATGGCAGAGAAAATAATTGCTCCTAAGTACATGATAGAAAACCTTAAGTAAATATCAATTAAAAATGGACAATAAAACCCAAATGCATCTAATTCTTTCTTGATAATAAGCTGTCAGAAATTGTCTTCCATGAAGATGGGTATAAAATTCTAGTTCTTACTCCCTTATAATTGTCCACATGCACACTCTTGTGCCCTGATAAACATGGTAACTTCCATTCAGTAAGTTAGGTGTAAAGTACCTCCTCTTTACTGCATTTAACTTGTATGAGAAACATGCCTATGAGCAGCCATCAGAACGATGTTTTGGAACTGTTCACCCTCGTTTTTTCCCCCCATGAAGCTGATTGGTTTTCAGTGTCCTGAAATTTTCTGAATTTAGTTGGTTGCCCACTCCTGGTTCTTGCTCAGTTTAAAGCTGTGAGGAAGCAGCCACTGGCCTAAAGAGAGCAAACATTATCCAGGGAACCCTGACCTGGCTTTCAGTGTCTTATCTCTCTCTATTTTCATTGAAGTAAGGAACTGTCAAAAGAGGAAACTCTGTTGGGGGGGAGGGGGATGGGAAGAGTTCTGTGCAGCTATTTCTTACGTAAACCTGTTTCCAGGTTCTGCCCTACCTAAAGCATGGCCTTGTAAATGTTTTTTGAAATGGAATCTTACAGTAATTGAGAGTTGGTATCATTAATTAGGTTCTACAACTAGAGTCTTTAAATTACATATCTCTTTGAAACAGAAAAAACACAGTTCTCTGAAATATCTGAAAATAAAATGACAGCTGTGCATAACTGTACTATACTCTGGAGATTTGTATACAATAGCTTAACCCAGCACAAAATGCATACACAAAAATTAAGCCAGCTGGGCATATTTCTGTTCTGCTGAGTCAAATGCCTTTTCTGCAAATGAAGAGTGTCATATTGTTCACATTCGTAATGCTTTATGTAAATACATTATATATTTTCCTTAGATTATGTACAGGTTATTTGAAAATTATAAATATAGTTTAATATGCACTGTTTTTTTCAGATGCAACTCAATGTAAAAATCATATAGCTCCTTTTGAAGGGAAAATATTTATCTAAAGTGAGAATTTATGTCTACTTCCAGATGTCTTATAGAATTAAGTCTGAGCTGCTTAGACATCTTTAATTCATAGATTTTTCTGAGGGTTTGTTTGGGATGCCTTTTTAATTTAGTTTTTTCATTACGTTTCTTAAATTTCCTGAATGTGTTCTGAAACACCTTAGGTTCACTAATCTACATGAGGCCTGAATATGCGAGACCACTATTTTAGTAGCTTCCTTTGGAACCATGTTTAGCATTGTGAACATTATGATTCGGAGGGAAAAAGTCATTTGAAATTTTCATGTCTTCCAAACTTGTTCTTTAAGAAAAAACAAGGAGATGTATGCAGTTACTTGTACAATTGCTCTCTGAGTTGGCTTATTTCAATTCTCTCCTTTAATGCTTTCCCACCAGGCACTTCAAAATTCCTCCAATTTTTTCAAATGTTTATCAATTGTTACATTTCTCTTAATACAGATATCCTAATATCCAAGTGTTATTGCTTTTCTTTTGCAGCTCATTGCTTTATTTCATCTCTAATGGTACTAAGTTGCTTTTGTGGAGAGGAGTTAGTTACCTATTAGTCTTCACTGTTCTTGGATACCTTTGTCCCAATATGTTCCACGTGAACTGAGGAAGATGATGCCAGCCTTCTCTTTCTATCCAGTTTCTCCAGTATCACAAGCACAGATCTTTATTCAGAGTAGTCATTTATAAAAAGATATATGATACTGTTTGTTGTCCTCATCAAGAAAGTGAATTGCCAGCTTTTAAAATTTATGTTAATATTAAATATAATGCAATGTAGTCCATGTGTTTTACATAAGAATCAATCTTGGCTATGTCTTCTCTAATTCTACTGTCCATATTATGTTTTTTGAATGCCCTGTTTTCAGTATGACTTCCAAAAGGCCTTTTTTCAGACACCTAGTATTGCATGCACAAGAAGGATGTTAAGTTTTTTTAGAATTTTGCCCAGATGATTAGTTACTGGAGCAAAGGTTATGGTTGATTTTTTTTTTAATTATTTTACATCAAGGTGATAAGAAAGTTGTCTTCTGTTTTTACTCCCTGACCTTGCTTTTGTACTAATCAAAGATGTGACTTTATTGACTCACCATTTAACACTGGATCGGGCTAAAGGAGGTATTCTTCTTTCCTATAAAGTTTAGAAGAAATGGAAGAAAAGTATAAAAACAGAGAATCAAGACCAGAAGACTTGCAGCTTATCTCAGAACTGAAAGACCTAATTGCAGAGCGGGACCAACTCATAAAGAAATTGATTGTAAGATTTTTATGCTCTTGGTTTAATATCTTGATAGATACAAAAGTCCATCTAATTCAAGGTGTTTGAAATGTATTTAAAGAATCAATCCTGCTAGCATGTTGTTCATATTCTTTAACACATTATTCCTGTGTTTCCAATGACTCATAATAGTAAAAGTAATTAGGCACAGAGAGTTTTGCACTATGAAGCATAATACAGTATTACAAAAAATATTGCAGTATGACCTTGATCAGATGTCTCCTATCGCCAATCCTGGACTAAGCCAGCCACATAAGCTGTATAAGAAATAGTCTCTTCTGTGACGTTTCTAAGACCAATTTCCTGATCCACTGATCTTCCCAAATTCAGAGCACAACACCCTGACACAGATTAGTCTGATTAGATTCTGATTCAGAAGCAAGATTCAAATTAATTAGAGATCAGAAGTTAACTGTACTGAGTCTTTCCCAGTGCATAATCCATTAGGCTGTGCTCACTGTCAGGAGGATAGAACTGCAACAGATCTGCATAAATAGAAATTATTTTGTATTTACGTATGATAATATATAAAACATATTAAATATTAAATGCAATTTTTAGAACTACTAGTTTCTTTAAAAATGCAAACATAAATTTAGTTGAGATCTTTTTATAGCAGATTTGGCCACTAACTGATTGAAAATGCATAAAAAGAAGTTTCTATTTGTTCTTTTTAGGAGGACAAAAAGTTCTATCAGCTGGAGCTAGTTAACAGGGAGACTAACTACAACAAAATGTTTAATGCAAGCCCTAATGTTGGTGTTATTAATCCATTGGTGAAGGTATGTTCCATGGACTTCATTGCTAAAGTGAAGAAAAAGAAATCTAAACTTAGGATATAGTAAAAAAAAGAAATATATGTGTATGTGTGTGTGCCTGTGTGTATACATATATCACTCTTATAAGACATGTCCAAAATAAGGAACATAGTTTTCCATTTGTCTCTACTTATTTTTGTGTAGGTTTGTTTCTTTTGTGTTGTTGAGAGATCCACTGTTATTGTTGCCCTAGTTTGCTAGATATGTAAAACACCCTTCCTTCTCACAAAACTGCAAAATCAAAATAGAAAATTGACAGAAATGCTACAGTCCTGCCCTCTGTTGCCTATAATAAAGAACAGTGACACCCATAATGAGTTTTAGTTTCATTATTTTTCCTGATTATTTTGGAAAGTGCAAGGGCAATTTCATTTTTTCAGGTGGTGCTCAGGACAGAAAAGCATTAGAAAGATAGAGGGAGAAGGGACACTAAAGGAAGGGAATAAGGTAAAAAGGGGAAGGAAAAGAGTATGAGAAGGGCATGGGATGAGTCTGAATGAAGAAAGAGTAATACTGGAGAACTGGAGTGACAAACCAGGTCTGGACTGTGGGGGCAGCAGTCTCCAGCTGTTCTCAGTTATTGTCACCTCCTACAGGAGTGAAAACATTTCCAGTTCTTTCCATCCTAAGTTGACAGTAAAGGCTACTGTACAAGCAGGCATAGTAGCCTGCCTGTCACTTGCAAAGGCAGCAGCATTCCTTCATGAGGAACATGAATAGACTGTGGTAGGGTACCTTAAGTCTATTTCTTTTTACCACTTCAGCAGTAAGAATGAGTCCTCTGACAATTCCTTCCTCCTTGTGCTAACCCATAGGTTGTTTTACCTGCATGGAAAGGGAAGAGATTTGTCCCAGCTGTAGAGGCAGAAGAACTCGGGAAGGTTCTGAAGCAGAGGGTAACCCAAGGGGCACAACATGAGCAGCTCAGATACCTGAGAGCTTCAGTGATCAAGGTTCAGGCTCTGTTTTTTAAAAGGAGGTCTGACTCTTATATGAGATCACACTGCATTATTTAGCTAAGCCTTATTATAGTTTCATGTCAGATCAGTGTATTTCCCACTTCTGCACAAACTCTGCTGCAAATTGTCAATATTCTCCTACGTTTTTCAGGAGCCCAGCAGCTCTCACAGGCCCATCTTCGGATGCCTAACTTTTATGCATAACTGCATAAAAGAACCTAGTTTGGGCCCAGTAGAGACAATACCAGGACTGCCAGATACAATTTGAATGTTTTGTTTTTATGTGATAAAGATTGTTTGAAAATTTTGGAAGTTCGTCCAAACCACTCATTTATAAAGATGTGAAATGTAACGGTCAAGTATATATAAGCTTGTGTTTTGTGTGAAATCTGAAGTGTTTGGAAAAGTACTTCAACATCAGATTTCCACTGTGATAATTCATATATATTTTATAATATGCTTCTATCACTTAAAACTGTTTGGGCTTTAAAATCGTCTTGGATGCCAGAACATTTTTCTCTCTCATTTCATGACTTGTGGACTATGTTACTTTATTTTGTCAAAGCACGTACTGTGTTATTAGAGAATGAATTACAAAGAAACTGAAAATCTCATTCTCTTCTCTTTTTTATAATGAAAAGACAGAATTTATGAGTTACTACAGGCTTTGCATATTAATGCAAAATTACATTCATTGCAGTATGTATTACAGCTTCTCTAATTTATGCAATGGATCTGTTTAGTATTACATTGTTACATCTGAAGTTTCTTAATACTTTGCATGAATTTCATGGAAACGATACATAGAAGTTTGTCTCTCCAGATTTGACTGCTTCAGAAGCATAGATTGTTTTAGGTCTTTTTGATAAGGTATAAACTGTAGTATTTTTCTAAGCACTTACATGGAAAACATACATTTTCCAGCAATGAGCCACCTATGAAGCACATAGATTTAACGACAGTGTGCTTAACACACAGTTTTCATTACAATGTATATTACTTCTCAGGTGTATTTTATGTGCAGTTGTTTACTTCTACCAAACTATTTTTTCACCGTAATGTTATTTCTTGCTTCTTCAGCTACTACAAAAAGTAAACTGTATGGGACGATCTTACTTTAATACTTCGCAGCTTTGATCTTTCACTGTGATGCTTCAAAATTACTTTTTCTGTTTTAACTTTCTGTTAAGTTGTTGGAGATTTTGAGTTGTATTCTGACAAACACATCCACCAGTGTGGCTACAATTAGTAGCATGCATCTGCCAACCCTGGAGAGGTCAGGCACTGAAATCAAAGCAAGCAGAGAACTAAACAGAAGAAAGTACAAACAAAGAATAGGACTCTCTCTGTCTCTGAACTCGTGCCCACCCTTCAATAGAGCAGCTCTTCTGTTTCAAGAGGAATTCTGCTGGAAAATGTTATATAGAAATAACATGAGATTCCACTTGTCTTTCACTTTATTTATTTCAAATTTGTGTACTTCATGAGCCTTTAAGGGTTTTTTCTACTAGCTGCTTTGTTAGGGTTGCATATATGTAATTGAATTAAAGCATTTATTATATATTCAAATAATACATAATTCATGAGAATAAATGAATCCATTCATTCAAAAATCCTATTTTTGGAAATAAGGCTTTTAAAATATTAATATTTTATTGTGGACATGGAATATTTGATAGAAGTCAGAAAATACACATCGCATTCTGTCACACAGCTATTTTTAAAAAGCTACTGAATTATTTGAATCGTCATTCTACATTAAATTATCTATAAAAGGAGAGAGGATAAATACTGATTCTTTTTTATCATGTGTTATGGAGAGTAAAATAGTCATATAAAAATAAAATAGTTCAGTATTTTGAGTCCCTTGAAATACTGTAACAAGGAGTATAGAGAGTATTAAAAGAAAAATCATCAGTTGTGCCATCTGATGTCTAGAAGTGGAAGCCGTAGTAGCATTAGAAGCCTGGCCTTTTCCTTGGGTGAGAAATTGATCTCCTATAGAGTAATCTTTTTATCTTTATCAGTATTGCTATAATGGTTGCTGACTACGAGGGTGTAATTGCTTTAAAAGAAATGTAGCTGCTTTTCTAGGTTCCATGTTCCAGTTACCAAAATGTGCCTCAGTGATGGGGTAAAGCCTGTTGGAGAGATTTACTTTTTTCAGCACTGAAATGTGACAGCAGAGCTGTTTCACTGGTATCAGGAAGAGATTTAAGTAAACATTAAAAGTTTAACAGATTAAATGACTATTTTGTGGAAAACTTCCTATCTCCAATGTCTTAGAGCAAAATGTTATATTGGAAGATCTCATATAATATACTCATTGATATTACACTGTCTTAATAGCTTAATCATCTTGATCAGAAATTTTATTTCTCTGCAAAAATTTGTGATATTAACTTCTGGTCAAAGCAAATAGTAAAACTACAATTGGAAAAAAAGCCCAGCCCAGTCTGTCCCAGTTGCTCTCCATCAAAAAAACCCCACACCAAGCATCAGTACAACTTTTAAATTTGCAGATTTCCTCATCTATCCTGGTGTAAGAAGCCTTCCTTACATTTGTTATTTTTAATGCAGCAAAAGAAGAAGAATGATAAATCAGCAAACAGGTTTGTGAGTGTCCCCAATCTAAGTGCTCTGGAATCTAGCGGAGTGGTGGGCAATGGACATCCTAACCGCCTGGATCCCATTCCTAACTCACCCATCCACGATATTGAGTTCAACAGCAGCAAACCACTACCACAGCCAATGCCACCTAAAGAGCCCAAGACGTTTTTGAGGTGAGCACTGTCTCACCAATCTTTTTTTTTTTTTTTTTGCTTAACTCAGGAAAATTTTGTATTCTTATTGAGCTGAATCCCACTTGCTTTATGAACCTCGCAGAGGTACAAGTACTCATGGCATTTTTAATTTTTACGTTATGTTTGTAACCTCTTTATAGTAGTCCTTTTTATTGTAGACCTTGTTGAAATGTGAAGTATTCTCTCACGTATTTTCATAAGTCTTGAACTTTGAAAACCTCTTTAGATACTTTAACAGAATTCATGTGCTTCCAATTGTTTACATATATGAACAATTGTTTTAAATGTTTGTGCTATTTACTGATTGTCATTTAGGAATTGATACTAGCACAGAATTTCTTTTATTTGATATGATGTGATAATGGTTTTTATATAAGAAAACTATTTTCTGTGCTACATGAATGTTTTGTGTTTCCCCTTTCCTCACCTATATAAAATTGTTTCATAGGAGTAACCTTACTACAGCAACAGGAAATGTGCATGCCTGGATGCTTAATGCTGAGCTTCTAGTAATCAAAACCAGCATTAAAGTCTCAAGTAATTCTCTCACAAACTAATATAGGGAATTGAATAACTTAAAAGTGGCATTTTAGAGGTAGGATTTAAATCTTTTGGCTTTATGTGCCTATGTAGGCACCAAAGTGCTGTACTTGGTGTTTAGTAGGTGCTGATCTCTTACCTCTAAGTTGACAAAGCAGTGTGTAATTACCAGTTCTGCCACTGGTTGTCTACTCTCTCTTTTGGTTTAATGCGAAAGACCACATACCTAGCAACTACTAATTATAAAAGGAAACAAATAATAGAATCTAAAATAGGTAAGGGAAAACAGTCTATTTCAAGAAAATATTTTTATAAAAATTACAGTTGCTCATTTTTTCCTGTGCATGTGATATGCATGAGTGTGCCCAGATATCTATAACATGCATGTGCATGAACTCATGGACTGTGATGCTGGAGTTTCCATTCCAAATTGGTTTGTGTTCTGTATTATCCAGTAATACAATATGGATTATTTTATTACTGATTTTTATCGATGCAGGAATTTATTTGTGTAATTAAATTTAAATTAGATTTAAGTATTCTCTCGTGCTCGTTCTGTGAGAATTTTAAGTGTTCAAGGGGGAAACAAATCTTGTTTGCAGTGTAGCAGTCTCATTTTTCCTAGTATATTAGCATTCTTTAAATGTGTGCATGAACAACAATGCAAGTGATGTTTGTGATCGGTGTTAAGTATTAAAATAGCGTGTATTTTTGTTCAGTCGCCAACCGGTCTTTGTGAGCACATGTCTACAAATATGATGCGAGCATCATATTTTTGAAAATTAACTTTACCACAGGAAAAGGATGCTAAAAGAGGACCTTCTACAGTCACGCTTTTCCAAGAAAATCCTTTTTATTCTTCTTGAAAACCTACAGCTGTTTATGAGATTTTAAATTATGTTTTCCAAAACATTATTTGCCCACCCTGTAATGTGGCTTCTGAACTGACTTGTCCATGCTGCTGATGCTCTCCAATGGAGTGGATGATCACAGATTCTATAGGGAGACATTAAATCATGTCCTGAGGCACACTGATAATTAATCCATGGATAAACAGACTGTGTTCTCTACTAAATATTCTGTGATATTATTTTTTTCTCATAACATTTGTACTCTTTGTGTAGTTGTGGGATAATTGTTTTTTTCTTCTTTCTGTGAATTTAGCCCTCCTCAGACTGATGCTTCACCAGTGGCTTCACCAGATCCCCAACGCCAGGAGTGGCTTGCTCGATACTTCACATTCTGAGAGATGATTTGTTTTCGTGGCACAGCGTGATGTGGACTGTTTGTAAGAGCATGACCTTAAGTAAACCCTCATGTGAACAAGCTTTCCTGTAATTTGTCAAACACTGTGAATGAGAAAGTATTTGTCTTTCTGATTTGAAACTGCACTGTACTTCATGTTATATTTGTTGGAATCACTTGACATGGTACTATATAATGTGTGTAATTATAACTATTATTTTTATTTAAAATGGAAGAATCTTTAAACTTTGTAATTACTACATAATAAATTTTGGTAGAACAAACATAATGCTTTCCCCCTTTTTCCTATAAATGTGTTTTTCTTTGATTTCAGGTAAAGCTTTTTCCTCAAAAAATAATTGCATGGTTACTATAAATACAATTTAAGTTGTAAAAGGACAAAGTATATATATATCTCTCTCTCTCTCTCCAATTTGGGCAGGATATGTTTAATGCATCCCAATTCTATTCTGGTGCTTTGTAGCAGTTTAAAAGCTGTCTCTTTTTAACATTTAAAAGGAAGAATGTGAAATAAATCAAAACTACTGTAGCTTCTAGCCTCCAGAGCAGAGTAATTTTGACAAAAGGATGAAAAAAGCCACAAACCAGGAGCTGTTCAGGAGGGGAGTTGACCCCTTACCTGTTGCTCATGAGACTTTGCCATCTGGTTATAATCAAGCATTTTATCCCTGAATTTAAGCAGAAACTGTTCCCACAAGTTATGTATTCTTTTATGAATATTAACAGAAACAAATGCTTGAAACATTTAGAATACTGTACTAAGTATCTCTGCATAAATGGGAAATCTATATTTTGAGCATGTAGTCCTGCTTTGGATGAAATTCATGTCTGAAATTAAAAAAAAAAATTAACCACCCAACTTTTTCCCATTTATACATACTACAGACACAGATCTTTCATTAAAACTTAATTACCTTCCCTTGTCTCTATTAAAGTTTTTTTTTCTTATTAAACTGATATATTAATATTTTTTTTTTCAGCTGATGAGCATGATTCTCCAATCTGCACCTTTTATGATGGCAGTGTTGCTCAAGAAATTTGCTACAGCATATAGAAAAATAGAGCTTGTTGTCTTTTTTGTATTTTTTCATTCAAAGATTACCACAAAGTAACTCACACTGGTAGTCTCAGGGAGAAAATTGTCTCTTTGTTTTATGAATGTATTTTTAAGCTGAATCTCTTATCTTTTAAAAGCAGGAAAAAAATGTTTGTGTTCTTTGAATAAGGTTTTAGTTAGCATATACAAAGGTCTTGAACTTTAATGTTTCATCTGAAGCCCTAACTATATCTTTTTTATGCTATATGCACAAAGGTAAATACCCAGATTAAGATACCTGCTAATTACAATGAGTTTTGTATGTAGTATATGTATAAACAAAAAATTTGTATGTTTTCATATAAACAATATAAAATCTTCTAAATTAACATTTTAAAACTTCTATCTTAGAATTCAGCTTGAAAACTCCACTGAAAGCTGTATTCTGGTGATGCTGGCGTGGATCAAAGATGTATAGAGCAGATTTTCTCTAGCTGGCGGACTCAACTGTAGGTATATGCAACTTTTTAATTTTAGAAGAAAGCCATATTGGGCAAAATGTGATATTTCTTTGGCTGTTACCCAAAATAAAATACACTAGCTCATTTTGTTATAATGTTCTGAAGTGAGTGTTGCGTATTCTTTCTTGCATGCTTTGCAAGGGCTCAGCCTTTTTCTCCCATCATCCATTTCATTTGTACATTTTTACATATGGAATTAATAACTGAACAGTAATCCAAAGATTATAATATTTGCATTTACTTTACCTGTTGTCGTGGTTTATAAAGGCACAGGGACAGTTTTTGTTAAACACCTGGTGGGCTGAGGCAGGGACAGGGAGGGTTTCACTCACCACTTAGGGTCATGGGCAAGAAGCCTACACGATTTGGGAAGAACAAAAAAAAAAATTGAAGTTATGAACTATGTACAACAAGCAGGATAATGAGAGAGAGAAACTCCATCTTAGGCACTTCTCCTCCACCCCTCCTTTCTTCCCAAAGCCCAAAGGCTTTGTTCTGTACCCTCTCCCCCCTCCCTGGCAGCGCAGGGGGACAGGGGATGGGGGGTTGAGTCAGTCCGCTGCTCCTTCCTCCTCAGGGGAGGGCTCCTCATGGTTTTTCCTGGCTCCAGCATGGGGTCCCTTCTCACGGGAGAGTCCTTCTCAAACTGCTCCGGTGTGAGTCCTTTCCACACAGGGCCACAGTCCCCCGACGACTGCTCGGCTCTGGTGTGGGCTTCTCCGTAATTCCTACGTGGTGGCCTCCTTCCTGCCTGCGTCTTCTCCAAAGGGACAAACCGTGCGTCACCATGAATCTTCACCATGCTGCAGGGGAAATGCCGGGGCCGCTTCCCTTCCTATCGCTCCTGTTCTCTGACCAGAGTGTCTGTGTGGCTGTTTCTCTCAAAATCTTGCTTCCTCTCTCCACCGCAGGTCTTCATCACTTCCCGGGAGAACAGACTCTTGGGCGAGCCATGGCAGAGGCTTGGGCTACGGCAGGTCGTTTTGCAGAAGCCAGGCAGGCAGCTGGACTGCCAGCCCTCCTGATCCGGGCCCTGCCCAGGGCCGTGCCAACAATCTTAAATATGGGGGCAACATCCGTGCCCCCTCTTGAATATGTCATTTGCAGAGGCGCCGATGGGCTCAGCCCTGGCCTGGGTCCAGTCTGAAGCTGGGGAAACTTCCAGTCGTTTCTCACAGGGGCTAGATCGGTGATACTCCTTCCCCACTACCCCTCCTGGTTACTAAACCCTTGGAGCAGGGGGGTCGGGGTGAACCCTTAGCAGTCACTTACAGGGGCCACCACTGTAACCCCTCCCTTGCTGCCAGCAGAGCTGGAGTCCAGGGAAACCTTTAGCAGCTACTTACAGGAGCCATTACTGTGGCCCCTCCCTGCTACCAGACAAACCCACCACACAAACCACACCACCTGTTCAGTAAAAGGTGTGTGCTCAATGGGTTTTTGCTAGTAGGCATTTGTCTTTCAGAAGGGAGCAGAAAGTTAAGAAGCACTCAGTTACCATGTCTGCCACAGTCAGCAGCTGGCAGACATGGTAACTGCAATACCAATGCAGTCTCTTAAAAACAAAAACCAACCAAACAAAAAAAGCTCAAAACCAACCCCAAGAAACTAGGAAATAAAGCTACTTTCTACCAAAAGGCTTTGAGAACTCTGTAAAATGTATTTCTAAAAAAAGTTAATATCTGGCATTTGAGATTAATACAGGAACTTGCATTATCGCAATGCCATTGCGTTCCTGACCTTTGCAGCATCTGGTATTCTGGAAAAAGCTAAAAGTGCACCTGTTCATGAGTCCAGTTGTGCAGAGTTCTACAAAGTCTCTGGTCACGCATGCAGTCTTTCCTAGTTCAACAGACAGCTCTGAGTAAGGCGGTACAGAATTAGTGTGAAGTTGCACAGTATTATTATTGCCAATGGTGGGAAAGTCTTTGTCTCTTGGGAGCGCTCTCTCTCTGCGCTCTGACACGTTAAATCTCCTTATCAGCCCTTAGTGTTACTAATTCCCCCGAACCTTTAGTTTTATTCAGAAAGAACAATAAAAAGTCAAAGAGTGAACAGTAAGGAATGTAATATTTTAATCCTTATTGCGTTTTCCTATGGAAAAGGAAGTAAGAGGCTATACTTGATACAGGGGCAAAATGCAGAAGAATCCTACATTTCATCATACACCATGGTAATAATCAGTCTTAAGGCCAGCCCTTCAGTCTGGATTGCTCCTTTTGCTTCTCTGATAAGAGTTTGAATGCCAGTCAGTTTTCCAGGTTGACAGAATACTGCTTTAGCTGACCCATCTGACATGATCTCATAGCACAGGGACAAATTTTGTCACAAGAACTGCATAGCTTTTTCTTCTGCAGC